AGATTGCTACACTGTGTTACCTTACATTATCTACAATAACATTTAATTATAAATACTATCTTGCCATACCAAATGTTAGGTAGCACATCCATATATACATATAATTATATATATATACATATATATATATATATATTTATACTTGACTAGCTTTATCAAATTCGTTTGCATACAGGAAATTATATCGATAATGTCTGGTTTCATTACTCGTGTGAAGCAAATGAAAAAAATTTAGACAAACGAGAAACAAAAAAGGGCAGTACTAGGAGGCTATTTTAAAGTTCGCGCATAACATCGGCATTTGTAGTAAATTGCACGAAGCCTACATACATACACCTAAGCTAATCAGTCGTACTCATCTCTCGTGTAACGTTAGAAGTTTTAATTTTATATATAAAAAGAAAAAAAGAAAAGAAAAACTAATTCTGAAATATTTAATAGTCATGATTAGCAGAGTTATATAAATAATGCCTGTGATAATAGTATCGTCAGGATAAGTTGTGTCCTTAAAGAGTCTCTGATGTTGTTGCTAGGTAAATATTGATTAGAAGTGTATCAATGTGAGATACCGTTGGTGCCGCCTGCAAGGTGTTTTTACAAGCACAATAACGCCACAGATGCAGAGCGGACCATCAATCGTCTCTAATGATACGCGTTAAATATAAAAAGAAGAAAATATTCAAAATAAAGAGAGAACATGTTGCAAAATTTTTGCCAGTCATATTTAAAAAAAAAACTCATAGTGTAACGAATGGATGACCATTAACGAGAGGGTCTTTTACCTCACAAAATTATTATATTACGCTCACCTTATATATACTTGAATATTTTAGTATAGATTTACTCTTTACATATTTTTATCTCTGTGGAAGACTACTTGGCTAATTTAGGCCACTGTTGAAATTCACCCCTTATTTGCCTTGATGTTTAAATTACAACAATAATATATAAAAAAAAGGAACGAGAATTACTTGTTACGTAAATGGTAATTGTGATAGATTTTTTGATGATTTTTACAATCTCAAAAGTCTTATTATCCTAATATGTATAGAATTATATAGTCACTCTGTACGTAATAGATAAACTTTGCTTACATTGTTAAACTAATATTAAAAGCTCTCATAACTATCCACACTAAACAGTTTTACAACTGGCAGTGTAATCGAAGATCGTATTTCGCGTATGGGATAGGTTCTGTGTGTATTACTCTTTAGCAGTACTATTTTTATTGCTATACAACTTCCAAGGCCTTTTAGGTGCCACAGGTTCTCCGACATAATTTCAAGCAAAGAATTATTTGATCTTTCGATTTTGCGTTCGTCGTGGAGTTAAAATTATAATTTTCCATTTCCTTCTAATAATTATAGAATTGTCACCTGTTTTATTTGTAAATCGGAGTTAATGCGCGATTACGTTTGTTTCCCAATACAAAATTGCTCTCGAAACTTTTACAAGCTATGTTTTACAGTACTTGGCAACACGAGGAAGACATTTACGAGCGCCTCGGGCTGCTCTGTTTCTAATTTCGCATCACGATTTGCGTGAATCGACACAATATTTGTCAATCGTAAAATATGTCGTGTATTTGATGAGGAATCGTTGCTATATATCACACGAAAAAATATGTTCCTGATTTTCAAAAGAGGAAGAAGAAAAAAAGAAAAGAGTCGCATATATTATACAATAAGAATTATTGCGAATGTTCACAAGCATTAACGCGAGACAGCTACAATTATATAAATAATAGGACTAACATGACACGACATAAACTGAATTCTAGCCTACGGTTAATCATAGTCTTCCTAGAATCCTAAAGAAAAAAAAAAAGAGTATGACTTCGCTATATTGATTAGGGCATGGCCAATTAACACTATATAGCTGGTTATAAATGGAGAAAAGCGTAACACGAAAAAAGTTATCTTACGAATTGCGCTTCGAATTAACAGCTCCATATTATTTTACTCGACATGGCTTATACACTAAAAGTCCGTGATTAATTTTTACTTTTTCATGCCTTCAGCATAATTTAAATTGAATTTTTACAAGAGGAAAAGAGGAGCAACAATTTATGATCAAAAAGGAAAGGGGAAAGAAAAAAAAGCCATAGCTCATTATGTGTAAGCGTTCCGCGTTATTTTTGTAATAATATTTTTATTCCTTACTCGCTCGTATACATTGTCTTATATATATATATAATTAATTTTTACCTTTATGCAAGCATTATGTGTTCGATCGGCTGTTTCTGACGCTATTATAGCGTACTTATTTGGATACGTTAGATCATTTTTCCGCGGTAGTTATTGCCGGGGAATACGTGGTACGAGCTTGCTATACATATTTTGATCTATTACGTTTTTATTCGGGCAATCCGGAAAAACGGAATTGCTTTCAAATGTGTATTTATATTATTTATATATTGTTTTGTTTAATTGGTTTTATAAATTTCTCGCTACAGTTTATATCTTATTCGAAAAGATAAGAAACGTTATTGACCGGTTTCTATTATACACTTCATTTCATTTTAATTGTGTTCTTTTCAGATACACACACACACATTTATTGTCATTGCTTTAATTTTTATATTTTTGTTGCTAACATTTTTTTTTCTTTTATTTCAAATACTCAATCTGAGGTGGAATGACAAGGAATTCTATACAGCTTGTCATATTACCTCGTAGGAAAAGGCAGAAAAAAGCGATTAGTTCATAATGAGTATTGATGTTGATTTTACTTTAACAATTTAACTACATTCCAAATCGATCATTTTATCTGTCACCTCGTATGAGATAGAAAAATTAAATTCTTTAGTGCCAAAACAGACTAATCAGAGTATTTATATAACATGTATATTATTGCTTACAATTTGTTTTATTCCTTATAAGTTTATTTTATTCGTCTTTTTTAAGTTGCGTCGCGCGCGAGTGTCGAAGTTCTTAGAGTAAGAAGACAAAAAATTACGATTAAATCCTTGCTTAGTCAGTTAAAGTACAAATATTTAATATATATATATATATTCTATCTTTAGAAAGTAAGTAACGCGAAAGGCATGTTAATGGCGTATATACTGTTACTTGGTTTCATTCCTCAACAGCACTAGCTTTATTTATTTTGCATTAGTTTACTCGATGTAATACTTAACAGGCTGAGAGAAAGGGTAAAGAAAACGCTTTCGCCATCTGCCCTATACACGTGTAATATTTATTTTTGGATATTACCACACGTTCCTTTTTGGAAGTACTTTGTTTACATATCAAATTGACCACTAAAACCGCGTTACATACAGTTGCATTCCAATCCGGTATGCTGAAAAGCGTCAACTTGTCGAGTAGCATACCCTCGAATATATCCGTTCGGTGATCTCCGTATTTCTACTTACTTTTAAGTAGTGATCGCGAGGCTGACTTGAGAGAAACTTTTTATGGTAAAGTGATATTTGATTCTTAAAGCTTCTTACAACTCATTTGCAGCTTATTGCGTAATCGAAAATAAGCGTCTACATTGAGCAATTGTGCTTTACCAAAAGTTAAAGCCTGGCTCCATCACATTTCTCTATGCAAAATTAGTTTCTAGTGTCGTTTCTCTCAAATCTATCTAAATAACATACTAAATAACATGTACTATGTATATCTGAAATGAACTTTCTAACGATTCAACCTATGTTGTACACATACAAATGTTGTAACAGCTGTCACGAAACGATAATGCGGATTACTGTGTGTAAACCATGTTTTCCTAAGACCTCCATTGGTATTTTGCATAGAACGAGGTATTTCTGGGGGGGAAAAAAAAGAAAAGATCTTAAATGTTCCGACATCACTTACACTTCAAAATGTAAACTGTATAAGAATAGTACAACTGACGAAAAAAAGGTAAATTGTAATGCAATATGGAAAGCGCGTGTATACCAATATATTTTTTATATGCTAATGGGATGCCAAGGAGCATGGTCATCTTGTAATGTAACGTATTATTTAGAGTTATACACGTCCAGAGATCAACTGTGTACACACAAATCAGTTCCCTTTGAGACTACTCAGCCTTTATTGAACATACCCACCCCCCATTGTCGGACTACTTGAATTTCGAAGTATTTCAAATATGTATCTATATATATCTCTTAGTTTACGAGTTTTACGATTTTTTATCTTCCAAAGTTTGTCAAGACTAGTCCCCGAAATATCTGTAACACAGATCTAACTCTCTTCTATTATTTTTTTTTTCTTTTTATTTACCGCAAATCAGCTTTTTTCTATCTTGAAACCAAATTTTAGTTTCATTTTTATATAAAATATTCAAATTTATGGTATTATACGTATACACATCTATATACACTTTTACAAAAAAAGAAAAAAAAATATTTTAATCTACATAATGTATTACATAATTAAAGATACGGAACATTTGCTACTTATATATTTGTCAAATGTATTATATTGAAAATATTTTATTATAGGATGGACAAATTTAGCCTTAAAAAAGAAAATAAATGTTCTTTGTTGATCGTACATTGCTTCATCATATCAACTCAATTTGCCATTACCTGTCAATTCATATGTACTGTCCTATATTAAGATATTCTCAAATGATATCACTATGCAGTTATTTGAAACGTGTAGAAGTATACATTCTTGTCTGCGCATAGGCTGCAATGCAATAATAATATATTGTGATGCTCACAAAGCACATAACACATTTTACCAAAATTGTAATGTTTAAATATTTCATGTGATTTTGGAAACTGTTATATATTTTTTATTTCCTGCCAATTGTTTAATTTGTAATGTTGTTCTTTGTTCTCTTTTTCAATAAAGTAATCAACTAAATATGAAATTCTTTTTATTCACTGTAATCACCTCGGACGCAATTTCATGTATGAGAAAACGACGATTTTTTTATACGATATTCGCATATTTATAATCATATATTTTACGTAAGCAATCGTTACTGATATTTATCAAATAGAAGCGACTAATTTAGTGTGGGCCTAACGACAGAACAAATTTTCGACTTAAATATCTTTATTCGGACAGATACATCTATACATATACAGATTGTCCTATTTTGGAGATATATAACAACATATTTATTCGGAGTCTGAGTCCTTTCTGCCATACTGCTGTTTCGGTAATTCGTTCTGCAATTCAAGAACGTGTTCTATCGGTTCTGGTTTCCCATCATCGCCGATGCGGCAAGGACGCACGACTCCTTCCCTAAGCAACGATGTTATCTTGATATATATTTTTTTATATATATAGAAAAATATTATCATGGCGTTTGCAGTTGATAATATATTGCTGGTTTACATAATGATGTTATAAATATATGAAAACAGCTTTTGTTTAGCATTAGATCTCGATATGATTGTATCTTTACGCATATCTTTGATCTGTGACGAATAAATAAAATCTCAATATACACTACTCACTTTGTTAATTTATCAACCAGATTTACTAATTTTAAAGCTTCGTATTCCTTTTGTTCCTCTGTCATGCCTTCAAATGGATTTGGTTTGGAATGCTCGAAACATCCAGTTACTGGGTTTATTCTTAAAATAAAAGAAAACCATTTATTTATAAAGTTTTTCGTTTCGTCTTAATGCGACTATTTCTCGTCGATATTTACCGTTCTTTATACTTTTGATATTCTTCTGTTTCGCTATCTTCCGATTCAGAAGAATAAGCCGTTTCCGCTTGGCTACGCCCTAATAATCCTTTAGTGGCAAACATTCCCGCCGCATTTCCATATCCTGTATATTTCACCATACGGCTAACTAAATAATATTGATAATGTCATAACATTATTAGCATAACATTAAATAAAATTATTTGAAATATTTTAATACGGCAGATAAATACCATTTTCTTTACAAAGAACAAACAAAAGTTCTGCAACTAGATCACGTAACTCTGTGATAGGCGACGTTAATAACTTGCATAACTTAGCCCTTAATGTCGTCCCTTCTTCAGGGCGATTCATCACATCTTTTAATGGAGGTAAAATCTATAAAATTTTGGGCAATTAAAAAAAAATTGTTTACTAAAATTTTTTTTTATCAAGAGTAGATTTTTAAAAAAATTTTATTATAAATATAACTATTTCAAATTTTATTCAAGATTTTACCTGCAGTCTTATGTATTTGCGAACAAGCCTCTCTGATTTGACGAGTCTAACCAATGCAGTAATTATTGGAGAGAAATTTTCTAGTAAATATGTTTTACATTCTAATCTTTTATCTAAAAATCTAAGTAAAACGCATATAGCGCTCATATCCATCTTTTGGTATACATCTTTGCAATTTTTGCTGTTAACGGTTTGTATAATTGATGTATAACAGCTAAACGGTATCACAGTCAACAAATTGACGATATGGCTGAAAAAAAAAGAGATAAACTAATTTTTATGTAAAAGTTATAATAAGATATCACAAATTGTTATTATTATTTTACCTTTCAAGGTCATCTTGTTGCACTGAATATTTAAGAGTTAACAATTTATACAAAATTAACACCAAATTCTTATATTTCTCTTGGTCCTCAACTCCGATATCATCGGAATGTATATATAAATTAAATAGAACTTTTAAAACTTCACAGATTATTGTTATCTCTTCAGTCTAAAAGTAAGAGTAAAAACAAGAAAATTTGAATTTTTTAATTGATATAAAATATATGTAAAATATTGTATTAATAAATGATATTTAAATGAATCTTTTTACTTTATTTACAGTTACCTCGCTATTTTGATTTTGAGCTGCAAATTCCTCTATTATTTTAATAAGATATACATCACCATATAAATCAGTTTTGATTATGTCTCTTGTAGATGTGTTTAGTGCAGTGAGTAAAAACAATATTCTCACGTCAAATAATTTGACATCATAAAGATCATGTATCGTGTAATTTTTAATTCGATCGATGAGATAAGGCAAAGAAGAGATTAATACTTGCGACTGTTGCACTTTTACACTATTAAATAATAAGTTACACAGCAACTTTAGTGATTCTATCGTAGCTGCAATCAAAAGCATTCATATATTTAAATATATATATATATATATTTATAT